CTAAGCCAGGGACGGACTGGGACTCAAAAAACAAAACAAAATACAATTAAACAACCATTTTTATCAGTTTTGTTTGGCCCATAATTTATACAATTATTTAATTGTATAAATTAAAGTTTATTATTAAAGTTTATTATATATAAACTTTAGGTTTCGGTCTTCTTTAAGATGAAAAAAATGGCTTTGAATTTTTTATTCAAAATACACCTTGTTTTAATAGTGGTTTTATTAGCACAAATATAAATTTTTTGAACATATAACCAACAAATTCTTTAAAATTAACACTTTCTTGTGGGGAAAACAAAGGAATTAATTGACATGCTTTTAACCCTCTGATGGTCTTCCTTTATGAGTCACGTCCTGGGCCTTCCCGGACAGAAGTGACCGGAGGCCTAAAAATGAAACTTCTTCCATCCCAGTAAAACCAATGCAATTTTTTTTGTTCTATAATATTTATTATTTTTAATTTAGTATTTTGAGACAATTTGATTGAATTTATTAATATTTATGCAATATTTATGGTCTATTTTTTCCATGGAAATATATGTATATTTTTCTATATATACATTATTTAATATATATATTAATGCAGTATTTTAGTTTAATATAGAGTCTAGGCCTTCAGAAAAAAACAACAACATTTTTTGAAGAAAATTAGCACCATCTGGTTACAGTAGAGAGAAAAAGCGTAGAATCATGGTGTAACCACTAGATTGCATGTACAGCTCTCTATGGAGAGGCATGTGAATTTCCCAGCTGTTTATGAACACATTTTTTTTTTTTTTTGGTGGATTTGAATATATAATTAAAACAATCTCAAAAACGATTTCTTATTAATTTTTTTTAAATAAATAAATAAATAAATAATAGATAAAAAATTGTGATTTTTTTTTTTTTTTCAATTTCCCATTCATTTCCTATGGGGGTCATTTTTGACCAAACACCAAAATCGTGGCTATTTTTTTAACGATCACTTAGCATGCTCGGATCATGAACTCAATTTTTTTTGTGTGTTCACATACCTAATGCCAGAAATGTCACCAAGTTTCTTTTTTTTTGTAGTCTGAATTGTGTGTATGTGTATAAAAGTGTGTTTGTATGTGTGTGTGTGTGTGTGTGTGTGTGTGTGTGTGGGTGGGTGTAAATTTTTTGTACTCTTGATGTTGTAGAGTGTCACCCCTTTACTGCGGTATACTTCTTTTAACAATCATGGCCGATTTGTAGATTGTACAAACAAAAATTTTCTGTTTTGAAATTTTAAAAATCACAGCTTCATCAGAATGTTACGAAACTTAGTGTCTTTTATGGCATTGGGTATGTGAACACAAAAAAATTGAGGTCATGATCCGAGCAGGCTAATAGTCGTAAAAAAAATAGTCACACTTGTGCTCTTCTGTCAAAAATGACCGACCATATAGGAAATGAATGGGAAATTGACAAAAACACAAAAACTTTGAGAATTTTTGTGTGTACAATCTACAAATCGGCCACGATGCAGAAAAAAAGTGCTCAGCATTGAAGGGGTGACAATATAAAACATCAAGAGTGCAAAACAGACATACCCCCACACACACACACACACACACACACAAACACACTTTTATACACATACACACCAATAAATTTTGATTACAAAAAGTATGTTTTGAATTATTAAAAATCACACCTTCATCGCAATGTTACGAAACTTGGTGACTTTTATGAAATTTATGTATGTGAATACACAAAAAAATTGAGGTCATGATCTGAGCATGATAAGTGGTCTTAAAAAAATAGTCACACTTGTGGTCTTTGGTCAAAAATGACCCCCATAGGAAATGAATGGGAAATTGTAAAAAATGAAAAAAAAAAAAAGAAGAAAAATTGTGAATTTTTGTTTGTCAATTTTTTTTTAAATAAGAAATAGTTTTTGAGATTGTTTCAACTATATATTCAAATCCACCAACAACAACAACAAAAAATTGTGTTCATAAACAGCTGGGAAATTCACATGCCTCTCCATAAAGAGCTGTACATGCCATCTAGTGGTTACACCATGATTCTACGCTTTTTCTCTATACTCTAACCAGATGGTGCTAAATTTCTTCAAAAAATATTTTTTTTCTGAAGGCCTAGACTCTATATTAACCTAAAATACTGCATTAATATTACTTTGAAAAAAATAATATATATACAGAAAAATACATGTATTTTTCCATGGCAAAAATAAACCATAAATATTAATAAATTCAATTAAATTGTCTCAAGATACTAAATTAAAAAGAATAAATATTATAGAACAAAAATAAATTGCATTGGTTTTACTGGGATGGAAAAAATTTCATTTTTAGGTGTCCGGTCACTTTTGACCAGGAAGATAACAAGTGTGACTCCGAAACGAAGAGCACCTGAGGGTTAACTATAGAAAAAAACAAGGACAGCCTACAGGAACCTTTTTTGTGAATTAGCCTATTCTGTTTCAGAAATGTGCTTTTAATGTAATATCTGATGATTAATTTTGTTTCAATGGTCTGTTATTCTTTCTTAATAATAAAATGTAGCCCGCTAGCTGCTTCACTTGCTCCCGGTTCATGCACCAGCTGCAAAAGCTCAAATAAATGTATCAAATGTATCAACAATCATGAATTAAAAATACTAAGTCAGTCTTTGTTTGTATTGCATGTTTACTTTTAGGCTAATTCAATGAAACAGTCTAGGTCTCCATATCCCTCTATGTCGTCATCGCTCTTTAGAACGTTCGGTGAGTATAATGAGTGCAGCGGAATCCTGCCTTCTTTGTAGCGAGTCGGCGATTGAGTGAGTATGCTGTGCTTTTTACACGGGGTTTGGGGATCTGAATTTTAATATTTCCATAATTTACAGAAGAATCTGTTTAAACTGGGAATGTTATTGCCTCGATTTGCTGTATTACATTTAGATAAATAAATAGGCATACACTGCGGTTTATGTGGAAATGAGAGGATGATATGTGAATCAATAATGATCAAATCTTTTTATATATAAATATATATATATAAAATTGTTGATACTTTATATTTTAATGACAAAACGATAGCAGATGTGATGACACACTGAAGTGATACTGAAAGCTTATTGGCCTTAAGATGATTCGTTATTTAATCAATCAAATTTGCCTTGACAAACAGTATTGATAAAAAATAACAATTAACTTTTTTTAGCTTCATTTGTTTTGTTTTTTTTCATTTTAAATACATTTTTTCGGAAGGCTCTCAGCCTCCTCTGCCTCTTCTGATAGATTGCCACTGGGCATACACTGTATACATTTTTTATTTTTTAGAAAATTAACCCTTGTGCATCAATTTAAAAAAGTTACACATAGGTAAAAAGAGGACAAAAATGTCCATGTCAAAAAACTGTCATAAAAACGTGACGCTTTGGAGCAGAGACTTAAGTTTGGTATCATTTTAAAGAAGACCCTTTGCAGATTATTGCTGAAGTAAAAAAATAATAATAAGTAAATCCAAAAAAAAGTTATATAGGTATAAGTTTATGAAAATTATTTATAAAAAATATTTTATATAATATATATATATTTTTTAAATCAGGTTAAACTCAAAACTGCAATAAAATCAAAGCCATAAATCGAAATAGGTTGTGTTCCAAATTTGAGGATGATATCTCAAAAAATGAGCTTTCAGTAACAGTTTGTTTGGGCGTAGTAACATATTTTCCCCATTGGGTCCCAGCAAAACCCCACTGGAGCTCACAGTGATTGGATTTGAATTTGCAGTTTTTCTCTCTCAGTATTATAAACACACACATGCGCACACACACACATATTTTTTTACAACACACATACTAACCACACTCTGACATCCATACCAACACACCCACACAAATATTGTTGCATAATTTATCCAGTTGGCTCTGTAGTATGCCGAAGCAGAAAACAGGAATAAAGCCATATTTGTTTTATTGGCCAAACTTAAAAAAAATGGCAACATCTGATAAAAAAATAGTAAAAAATAAAATGTAGAAGCCTTGCCATCAGAATGAAAGCCTCTTAACAAAGATTGCATAATTTTATAGTTAACTGAACCGGGGATTAAAAATGGCAGTTTTAATGGGTTTCAATGGGGACATTTTTGTCCAAAAGGCGCTGAGAGGGAGTATTTTTTGTACCTAATGCAAAACATTTTTTTTTAAGAAAATGACGGTGAAATAGTAAAATTCCAATAAAAATACACACCTGTGGCAAGTTTTTTGCAGTTAGCTTTAACACAGTCAAAGTGATCAAAAAAACAAAACTGAAAAGGACAAAAATGTCCATAAGGATGCACAAGGGTTAAAAACCTGGGTTTAGTCTAGCCTACTTGATTTTCCGATTGTCCGACCAGTGCGACACTGCACAATTTCTTATTTATACTCTACCAGATGTCAAAGAGCAGTACTGAGTCATTTCAACATTCTTTTAACAATCACCGCAACCGTTAGTGCAAACACAAAAATTGGGCTACACATGGATGTCCGTTGACTTTCAGATGACAAAAAATTGCAGAATGCGGACGACATAAGTTTACTTTGGGCTTAAGACAAAAAGCTTTCAGGTTCTTGTACTGTATATGCGATATGTTATGGCGCCGCTTGATTCATAAACAATATTTATATTTAATATTTATATTTAAACAATATGAATGTAAGCCAGAGGAGAACTGGCCCCGACTGAGCCTGGGTTCTCCCAAGGTTTTTCTCCATCCAATCTGATGGAGTTTGGTTCCTTGCCACTGTCGCCTTGCTTTTGGCTTGCTCAGTTGGGGTTATTTAGTGTTTAGCAATGTTGTTGATCTGTGTTGTGCTACTTTCATGTTATCACTGTGAAGCTGCTTTGATACAATCTGTATTGTGAAAAGCGCTATATAAATAAATGTGACTTGACTTGACTGTATATTTACTAAATCATCTCTTCCCTATCTCTTTCTTTTGTTTCACAGTTATACACTGCAAAAAGTATTGTTCACGTCTAGTTCATTTTCTCAACCATGCAGTCCTCATCTACGGAATTGTCAGAGGAGCTCACTTCGGCCCTTGCTGCGGGACGGTGGTGGGCGATTATGGAGGTTTCAGACCCCATCCCTGACGACTATGAGTACGACTTCTCCGTCTCAGAGGAGTGGGGGGATACAAAAGAGGCAGGAGCAACATCAAGTTCCTCATCCCTGGTCTTATCTGAGAAGGCTCATTTCCTACACTCCGGCATCTCAGATGAAACACTGAAGACCATACCGGAGTGGAGACAGAAGAGGACGCAGGGGGCACACTTCTCTTCTAGATCCAGACATGAAGCGCCTGTGCCCGTGAGATCCTCGCCTGTGCCCGTGAGATCCTCGCCTGTGCCCGTGAGATCCTCGCCTGTGCCCGTGAGATCCTCGCCTGTGCCCGTGAGATCCTCGCCTGAGCCCGTGAGATCCTCGCCTGTGCCCGTGAGTTCCTCGCCTGAGCCCGTGAGATCCTCGCCTGTGCCCGTGAGATCCTCGCCTGAGCCCGTGAGATCCTCGCCTGTGCCCGTGAGATCCTCGCCTGTGCCCGTGAGATCCTCGCCTGTGCCCGTGAGATCCTCGCCTGTGCCCGTGAGATCCTCGCCTGTGCCCGTGAGATCCTCGCCTGTGCCCGTGAGATCCTCGCCTGTGCCCGTGAGATCCTCGCCTGTGCCCGTGAGATCCTCGCCTGAGCCCGTGAGATCCTCGCCTGTGCCCGTGAGATCCTCGCCTGTGCCCGTGAGATCCTCGCCTGTGCCCGTGAGATCCTCGCCTGTGCCCGTGAGATCCTCGCCTGTGCCCGTGAGATCCTCGCCTGAGCCCGTCAGATCCTCGCCTGTGCCTTCCAGATCCTCAGAGGGACCACCTGCTAGGTCCCCAAAGGAAGCGCCTGTCCCCAGAGGTTCCCAACAAAGAGGAAAACTGAGGATCCCTCAACATTTAACGAAACATCTCATAAAGGCCTCTATTGAAACACCCATTCCCATCCCGTCTCCTCAGAGGGTACCAGTGTCTGCCTCAAAGGTGCTCACTTACTCCTCTCATGGAGCACCTATGCAGAAGATCGAGCCTCTGACTTGTGCTCAGGCAGCACTTGTCATTAAAAAGATCTCAGAGAGGAGAAATGCAACAAACCCTGAGCTGCGGAGGCAAAATTCGCAAAATGCACCAGAGGCCGAGTCTTCCGTAAAACTGAGGATCCCGAAGCAGAGGGAGAAGGTCAGGGATTGGTCGGAGCGTCAGCAGAGGCAGAACAACATCCGAAAGGGAGTTTCTGTAAGTCCCTTATATTTGATGTTTTTACTTCTTTTAAAATGTATTCAAACAAGTAAACATTGCCTTTAACGTTGCTACTATGTTTTCTAGGCCCTCAATTTAAAATCCTTTTATATTTCAAAATGATTATTTTTAAAAGATACGCCTTTACATTTAGTCTAAGAAGCACCCATTAAACCTGCCCAGCTCGAACAGACTTTAGCCCAGGTCCCAGCCGACCCGTAAAAGAGCATTCATTGATTAGACCCTTCTATCTCTCAATTTAAACTTTAGAAACTAAATAATTTAATTATTTAATCTGGGATGCAAATCAAATCCTTTTCAATTCAGACCCCTCATATCGAAATGGTAGAAGCAACTTTTGTATAGATTTTCTTTAAGAATCCCTCATTAAATGTGTTCAGCGTTACATGATTATGTCTGTTCCTTCAACAGGACAGTGCCGGAGTGGACAGGTCAGCCTCACAAAAAAAGCAGCGGATGGCGATCACAGTCAACGACCTACAGTCGGTTCCAGGCGGCGCAGACCAAATGGACTGTTTCTGTTGCTTATTTGAAAAATGTTGTGTCATTTAAAATATTGAATATTTATATTGTTAAACGTCTGCGTCTCATAATAAAAATATATATATATACATACTAAGTATTTATTTGTTTGTCAATGACAACACACATTAATTAGTGTAATATAAACAGATCATTTTCCTCTGCTGTCACTGCACTGATTAAATTCACACACTAAGCCAGGGACGGACTGGGACTCAAAAAACAAAACAAAATACAATTAAACAACCATTTTTATCAGTTTTGTTTGGCCCATAATTTATACAATTATTTAATTAATTGTTTGTCTTTGACATCTGGTAGAGTATAAATAAGAAATTGTGCAGTGTCGCACTGGTCGGACAATCGGAAAATCAAGTAGGCTAGACTAAACCCAGGTTTTTAACCCTTGTGCATCCTTATGGATACTAAACTGAACTATTTAAACTATACTATTTAAATAAACTGAAATAAACAATATTTATATTTAATATTTATATTTAAACAATATGAATGTAAGCCAGAGGAGAACTGGCCCCCGACTGAGCCTGGGTTCTCCCAAGGTTTTTTCTCCATCCAATCTGATGGAGTTTGGTTCCTTGCCACTGTCGCCTTGCTTTTGGCTTGCTCAGTTGGGGTTATTTAGTGTTTAGCAATGTTGTTGATCTGTGTTGTGCTACTTTCATGTTATCACTGTGAAGCTGCTTTGATACAATCTGTATTGTGAAAAGCGCTATATAAATAAATGTGACTTGACTTGACTTGACTGTATATTTACTAAATCATCTCTTCCCTTTCTCTTTCTTTTATAGTGTTTCACAGTTATACACTGCAAAAAGTATTGTTCACGTCTAGTTCATTTTCTCAACCATGCAGTCCTCATCTACGGAATTGTCAGAGGAGCTCACTTCGGCCCTTGCTGCGGGACGGTGGTGGGCGATTATGGAGGTTTCAGACCCCATCCCTGACGACTATGAGTACGACTTCTCCGTCTCAGAGGAGTGGGGGGAAACAAAAGAGGCAGGAGCAACATCAAGTTCCTCATCCCTGGTCTTATCTGAGAAGGCTCATTTCCTACACTCCGGCATCTCAGATGAAACACTGAAGACCATACCGGAGTGGAGACAGAAGAGGACGCAGGGGGCACACTTCTCTTCTAGATACAGACATGAAGCGCCTGTGCCCGTGAGATCCTCGCCTGTGCCCGTGAGATCCTCGCCTGTGCCCGTGAGATCCTCGCCTGTGCCCGTGAGATCCTCGCCTGTGCCCGTGAGATCCTCGCCTGTGCCCGTGAGTTCCTCGCCTGAGCCCGTGAGTTCCTCGCCTGTGCCCGTGAGATCCTCGCCTGTGCCCGTGAGATCCTCGCCTGAGCCCGTGAGATCCTCGCCTGTGCCCGTGAGATCCTCGCCTGTGCCCGTGAGATCCTCGCCTGTGCCCGTGAGATCCTCGCCTGAGCCCGTGAGATCCTCGCCTGTGCCCGTGAGATCCTCGCCTGAGCCCGTGAGATCCTCGCCTGTGCCCGTGAGATCCTCACCTGTGCCCGTGAGATCCTCGCCTGAGCCCGTGAGATCCTCGCCTGTGCCCGTGAGATCCTCGCCTGTGCCCGTGAGATCCTCGCCTGAGCCCGTGAGATCCTCGCCTGTGCCCGTGAGATCCTCGCCTGTGCCCGTGAGATCCTCGCCTGTGCCCGTGAGATCCTCGCCTGAGCCCGTGAGATCCTCGCCTGTGCCCGTGAGATCCTCACCTGTGCCCGTGAGATCCTCGCCTGAGCCCGTGAGATCCTCGCCTGTGCCCGTGAGATCCTCGCCTGTGCCCGTGAGATCCTCGCCTGAGCCCGTGAGATCCTCGCCTGTGCCCGTGAGATCCTCACCTGAGCCCGTGAGATCCTCGCCTGTGCCCGTGAGATCCTCACCTGTGCCCGTGAGATCCTCGCCTGTGCCCGTGAGATCCTCGCCTGTGTCCGTGAGATCCTCGCCTGTGTCCGTGAGATCCTCGCCTGTGCCTTCCAGATCCTCAGAGGGACCACCTGCTAGGTCCCCAAAGGAAGCGCCTGTCCCCAGAGGTTCCCAACAAAGAGGAAAACTGAGGATCCCTCAACATTTAACGAAACATCTCATAAAGGCCTCTATTGAAACACCCATTCCCATCCCGTCTCCTCAGAGGGTACCAGTGTCTGCCTCAAAGGTGCTCACTTACTCCTCTCATGGAGCACCTATGCAGAAGATCGAGCCTCTGACTTGTGCTCAGGCAGCACTTGTCATTAAAAAGATCTCAGAGAGGAGAAATGCAACAAACCCTGAGCTGCGGAGGCAAAATGCGCAAAATGCACCAGAGGCCGAGTCTTCCGTAAAACTGAGGATCCCGAAGCAGAGGGAGAAGGTCAGGGATTGGTCGGAGCGTCAGCAGAGGCAGAACAACATCCGAAAGGGAGTTTCTGTAAGTCCCTTATATTTGATGTTTTTACTTCTTTTAAAATGTATTCAAACAAGTAAACATTGCCTTTAACGTTGCTACTATGTTTTCTAGGCCCTCAATTTAAAATCCTTCTATATTTCAAAATGATTATTTTTAAAAGATACGCCTTTAGATTTAGTCTAAGAAGCACCCATTAAACCTGCCCAGCTCGAACAGACTTTAGCCCAGGTCCCAGCCGACCCGTAAAAGAGCATTCATTGATTAGACCCTTCTATCTCTCAATTTAAACTTTAGAAACTAAATACTTTAATTATTTAATCTGGGATGCAAATCAAATCCTTTTCAATTCAGACCCCTCATATCGAAATGGTAGAAGCAACTTTTGTATAGATTTTCTTTAAGAATCCCTCATTAAATGTGTTCAGCGTTACATGATTATGTCTGTTCCTTCAACAGGACAGTGCCGGAGTGGACAGGTCAGCCTCACAAAAAAAGCAGCGGATGGCGATCACAGTCAACGACCTACAGTCGGTTCCAGGCGGCGCAGACCAAATGGACTGTTTCTGTTGCTTATTTGAAAAATGTTGTGTCATTTAAAATATTGAATATTTATATTGTTAAACGTGTGCGTCTCACAATAAAAAAATATATATATACATACTAAGTATTTATTTGTTTGTCAATGACAACACACATTAATTAGTGTAATATAAACAGATCATTTTCCTCTGCTGTCACTGCACTGATTAAATTCACACACTAAGCCAGGGACGGACTGGGACTCAAAAACGGCCCTGTCGCCTGGCATGAGCGTCACAAGACTTTAATTGTGGCTCATGATACTATACCATCCAAATGATAGCAAACAGCCTATTCTACAAACTATTTCATGCTGTCTTAAAATGAATTTATTACTTAATAATCTTAATTAATTTATGCAGTAATTAATCTTAGCTAGGCTACTGTGCAAATAATAATACCACATCTAAATGAAAATAGGCTACACCATTACAAATGTAACTTCTGTATTCAACACCTTCAAAATTTGTAAGCATTAACTGTAACGTTAAACATTTTAAAAAGTAAAAGCACAACATATTTCTCAATATTAGCTACTGCATGTGGCATTTTACAGCTAAAATGTTGAAGTTTAGCTATACTGTAAACTGAATATCACTTCCTAACATCATCCCTAGCTAGTAACTTGCAAAGTAATTTCTGATTAATTCGGTTCAGGAGTAATAGAGATAAAAGCCCGCCCGCACTGAGATTTGATTGGTTGGGTCCTTACAAGATAGCAAAAATCATTTGGCCCAGATCTAGTCTAGGTCCTGGGAAAGATTTGTATGCACTTCATTTAGCGAAGAATATCTCAACTTTTATAATATATGACCCCATTGAACAACACGTGATGTGTGCCAAAATCTCTAACCGGGACGAAAGTCCTGAAAATTATCACAATAGGTGACAATTATATCACAATACAAGTGAATGGGACTTTTTTTATATATATATAAATTCTCATTTCTACCAGTTTAATCTTCATATTAAGAGAAATACTTTTTGTATTTCAATTTATCTTAAAAATAAAATAAAATATGCAAATTAGGCAATATCACATCATTGAATATGCGTACTTAACCTCTTGAAGCTACAGATTTTCTGAGGTGATCACAATGTTCACAATGACCATGTAGTGTAAGTGTTATACCTTTCTCACCAATGCCATGAAGTCGATAATGATTGCGTGTGTTTGCGGGTATGGAATGCCAAAGTTGACTTCATTAAAAATAAATAAATGCATATATGAAGAAATGTGAAAATACACAAATAAATACAGAAATTAATATACAAAGAAGTGTAAAAAAGTACAAATAAATGAGTATTTATACTTTTATTTCATTATTTATGTATAATTGTATTTTTTTCACACATTTATTTATTTATTTATTTCTGCATTTATTCATTTATTTATTTCCACTTTTATTTATTTCTACATTCATTAATGTATTTATGTTTTTATGTCTACATTTATTTATTTCTACATTTATTTATTTCCACATTTATTTATTCCAACATTTCTTCTGCATTCACAGTTACACTTCTCACAGCTGTGAATCCAGGGACAGTCACTCTCATGTGTCACTTTTTTTGGAGAAGCGATTGACCATCCACAGAAAATAGTCTGAATTCATTACCTTGGTGGACAAACTGTTGTTATCTAGATACAATACACACCAAAATAAATATAAAACTGATACAAATTCATCATAATTATTTAAATACACAAATTTACAACTCAAATGATGAGGACACGTACTGTAAATGTACACACCAACACAAATAACTTTTCTTGATCTCAAATCATCTTGTTTGACAGCCATGTGCTCAATCAGCTCATGCGAGTAATAGGTTGACTGTTTTTTAGCCATTTTCTTTGTATTAAATCAGAATGCTTACTCTCATCTATGACCTTATAATCATGGTCATTGTGAACTCCTCAGAAAATATGTAGCTTTTATATTTTATAATATGTAGATTTAATGAGATATTGCCTCATTTGCATATTTTATTTTATTTTTTAGACAAAGTGTAATACAAAAAGTATTTCTCTTAATATGAAGATTAATCTGTTAGAAATTTATGAGGATATCTATAAAGGGAAGAAAAAGTCCCATTCACCTGTGGTGTCATTAATTTGGTCATTTTCAGCCCGGTTAGAGAATTTGTCACACATCCCACATTGGTTAATGGGGTTATAAAAGAGACATTTTAAGAACATGTTTCAGGTTTATTAAATCAAATTCATATTTGACATACATATTCATTGAACTTCAGAAGTTTACAGTTTTATCATCAGTTTCCCAGTAGTCTTAGCCAAATAAATTTGCATTTTATTTATAAGAGGTGGTTAAGACAACAAAAACAGTACAAAACTACATAAAGTACTCCCCCCCCCATGAAGAAACTGAAGATAGAGAGAAGAAAAAGAAATTGGGCCTACCCTGCCTAAACATTTAAAAATACACCAGAAAATCTGCAAGCAGTCATTTTTACCACTTTACCAGCATCAGGTTTAAATATGTGCCATGGAGGTTGTTGGCATAACTAAATGTGATAATGAGCTGTGAATATGGCATGAAATGTGTTTGCCGTGACATTCGTCTTGATTTACGTCAGTGATTACTGACTTCCCATTCTCTCACAACAATGGCTTTGTTATAGCATAATCATGCTATTTCATACAATCCAAAAGCAAGTTCTTTCATTGGGGCAACACCATAACATCACCTTTACTTCATTCTTGTAGTAATGTGCTGCTGTAACAGTACTGGAGAAAAAACACCAAGCAAAAAATTAAATAAAAGATGCCTGTTCCAAATAAAATTACACAAGTTGGGCTAAAACAAAATCAATTAATTAACAATTCATAACCGAACTTGCACCCTTTACCAAAACAAAGAAATGAAGAGATCTACACAACTGGGGCAAATAAAAACAAAATGACTGGTGGACTAGCGAACAACCAAGTTCTTCTGATCTCTGTTGAATTGGACGTCCAATTCGAGAAACTGGTAAATCACGGACTCAATGTGTTTATGTTGAGGGTTTTCATACGACTCTCCGCACTTCAAAGAATCTCTTCAGGTAGTAAATCTGTCCGAGGGTCATGGCCACCAGCACCAGAGCCTCGAAGAAGGACCAGAGCACCACCCTGCTGTTCGTGTTGTCATTGACTGGAGGACAGAGACACAAACACGCAGTCAGAGGCAAGCTTAACGTTTCAAGGTGAGAAAGCAAATTATAATTACTCAAAGGCCAATTAAAGATGCATATTTCGGCTGGGTTCATGTCAGGGCAATGTAAAAAAAAAAAAATTCAAAGCCTGTTTTAACGTACATATTTCTGCTACTTTCATATTTCAACATGTAATAATCCTAATACGGATTTAAATGCCACATAAATGCCATGCATATTTCTTCTGAATTCATATTTCAAAATATAAATAATAATAATTTAAAGGATATTTAATCATGCATATTTTTTGGGGTCACAAATAAAATAAATAAATTCAAAGGCCATTTAACCCTAAAACTGTATTCTGGAGCCTGGACAAATGTCGGAAAAATAGTTTTGATTTATTTTTAAAAAAATACTTCCCTTGATCTGAGCGGTACAAGACTTGGCTACTTTTCCTAAGTTTGCCTCCTGGACTCAATTCTACAATGTTAAGTGGGTGAAAAAAAACTACTTAATCTTGTATTTAGGTTAAAAAAGGGCACCCATAGAAATGAATGGGAAAAACTGTAATTTAGAGCATTCTAAAAAAAAGCCAAAATAAGACAGCAAAGATTTTAGCTCTAAAAACTTATTGGAATGATGTTTTAATGTAGTTAAATTTTTTTTTTTTAAAATAAAACATAAAAATAAAGATAATTTACATAGAAAATATGGTACTTTTTGAAGGAAATTAATTCAAAAATACCCCCAAAATAAACAAAAACACCATTAATGGATAGACAAAACTTTATCGAAGACAGTGATATAACATTTATAAGAAATAAAAATTAGGAGTCCTCTGTGCCCACATTTGTCCACAATTACAGGATTAAGGGCTATAAAGTGAATACAGTTTGAGGGCTACACATGCATATTGCTGCTGTTTTCATATTTCAAAATAATAATAATTTGAAAGCCAATTTTTTCCCGGGGTGATGATAGAATGATCTTTTGAACTTTCAAAAATCATTCCATTCATTTGTTTAAAACAGACAGACACAAACAATTCTCCTAATTATGTTAATATACTAGCACACACGAAGGCTGGTTGATCACATGATCAGTGTGGATGTCTTACTTGCACGGTGTATTCTCTCTCGGACCTCCATGTATTCCTGCTCATGTTTGACCGCTGTCATGGCGACCGCCAGCTCGTTGATCATCTCCTCCAGCTTATTCTGATGAGCTGGAAATAAACGCATAGGGATTTACTCACAGTGATTTGATCAACAAACACATTGTGGCGTATGCAGCGTGCAACAATACAGCACACCAACTGCAATATTGAAGTTCATAATCATATAACCTCTATATTACACATGCAAGAGTTGACGGGTCATAAACAGCTTTAGTTTCTGGTGCATTAATAAATAAAACACTCTTCATATATACACAGCATAAGACCAAAGCGTTCTACAATTAATAATTCAAATAAACCTCTTCTATGATAAAACACATTAAAACCATTCATGTTATATCTTCAACACAAAAGCCACAGCTCACTCTTCGCTGTTATACAGCATCTTTACGAGCACATAAGTCAGTGAATGTACTTTATATACACACGGGTGCAAGATTAACTGTTAGATTGAAGTTTAAAGCTCAACCGATGTTAAAACAATCTATTATCCAGTCTATTCCTACCATCCCAGCTGTCACCACCTCCTGGAGAGGGAACAAAGTCACGTTAGAGGTAAAAATATTTCTTTTTTTCTTTCTTTTTTAAAGACAGATTTATTTCTTTATTATTAAACAATTGTTTTAAAATAATTTAATTTGTTAACGCTTTAAATAAATGCATTAGTTAGTATGAATAAGTAAAGCATTTATAATCCTAGTTAATTTGAACACATTTTCTAATACACAGTTGTATCTGTTACTAGGGTTCCAAAGGGGCGGAAACTTTCCATGGGATGTTAAAGGGATACTCCACTTTTTTTGGAAATAGGCTCATTTTACAACTCCCCCATAGTTAAACAGTTGAGTTTTACCGTTTTCAAAACCATTCAGCCGATTTCCTGATATTTAGAAGAACATCAGTAACCAGACATTTTCTGGTCCCATTGACTTCCATAGTAGGAAAAAAATACACTATGGAAATGGGATCAGAAACTGTGTGGTTACTGACATTCTTCTAAATATCAGAAAATCGGCTGAATGGATTTGAAAACGGTAAAACTCAACTGTTTAACTCTGGGGGAGTTGTAAAATGAGCCTATTTCCAAAAAAAGTGGAGTATCCCTTTAAGCTGGAGAATTTTGGAAATATTCTTGGTTGGAAACTTAACAGGAATTAATTGGAAATTTGAGGTAATGTATACAAACTATATCACATATACAACTATAAATATCAACATTTTGTTTGGTGTTAAGCAGATTTGATTTAATTGTGAACAGAATTTTATTGGTTTCTTTTATTGAACAGAATCAAACATATTCCCTTATGACCTCCCCCTATACTTTTATTAACTAACAAAGATTAATAAACACTGGAACAAATGTTTTGCTCATTATTAGCTAATGCATTAACCTCATTGTAAAGTGTTACAGTTATTTTTATTTCAAATAATTACAATTAAAATAACATTTATAACATACAGTAGCGACCAAGAGTGACGTGAAGAGGAGATATTTGTTTTTAATGACGGTACAGGTTTAATTAAACAATCTATATACATATTTTTAATATGAGACTACGAAACACTAAACATTTTTAAGGTATTTATCTGACAAAATTATTTGGCAAAAGAGGCAAAAAGTACAGCTATAGGTTTTATTTGCTGTGGATAATAGAAAAACATACATTGCATTTGCATACATTGACTACAACAATCAGTTATCAATATTTTGTTGTTTTTGCACATTCATAATTCTTTGTTTGACAGCCTGGCCAAAAATTATGTCGGCACAATTTGTCATGTTTCATTGCGTTATCATAAATAAAACAAATCGACTTTAAACTACACAATATGCTAAAAAATTTTAAGAAATTAAAAAAAAAATAATAATAATAATTTTTTATATTATTTGAGTAAAAGGTGAAAATGTTTATTTTCCTATCACTTTTGGCCACTACTGTCTGAAATATTAAACATTTTAGCCAATTCAATATTTTAAAACTACACAGAAAATGTTAAATTCATTGCAGAATGACTTTTTCCAGTTCCCTGAAAGCTCCCCGATATTCCCAGGTTTTCCGTGACCGTGGAAACCCTGCCATATGTTGCAAAAGACAAACTTCCCAGAAAAGCCTGTGTCAGTTTCTCCGCTCACCCTCTGTCTCCATGTCCTGTCCTTTGGGCGCCTCGCCGATGTCGATGGTGAACATCACAATCTTTGGGGTCATGGTGGACATCTTGTTGCTGAAGCAGAACTTGTAGGTGCCGTCCATATGGGCGGCTACAGAATATTTCCCACTGGACTCGCGGTCTCCTTTATAGATCTGCTTCCCGTCTGGACCGGTTATCTGTTACAAACAAACAAACAATACATTAAATAAATCTCAACTTTAACAGGAACACTACAGGCACTCCACATCAGAGTTGTGTTGGGCATTCAAGAAGCACAGTCACTGTCAATACATCAGCTTCTGCCTGAAAAACAATGTACTGATATTAAACTTATGGACGATGCCAATAATTATTTACATTTGAAAGCCGATAACCGATATATTGTACAGTCACATTTCAAGCAATTCAAAACCATCTTGATGCATTTGAAGTGTCTCAGCTGAAGGAAATACAATATTGGCTTTAATATATCGGACATATTTTCTTATTGGACTGATAATGATAACATTAAAAATTAACATATATCGGCCGATATCGATATGGTGGCCGATTTATCGATGACATTGCTATAATACCTACAGTAGTACAAGCAGTGCTAACAAAACTACCATGATACCAGAACCAAAACACTACGGTAATACCAAAATATTAATTTCATTAAAAACAAAACCAGGTTACTTTCACTTTGACACGTCTAAATTTTGTTTAGAAAATACATTATCCAGTATCTAAGCACTAATAATCACTCTCAACCAGCAATTAACTTCCGGCTTCATCTACCATCTGGTGAGAGCATACACTGACACCTGCAAACATCCTATAGATCCTGTTTATGGTCTAACATATCTTTATAATGGCATTTAATGATATTATAAGTGTATTTTAATGCCCACCTCCACGTCGATGTCCAGAAATCCTCCCTCGGCGACCTCAAACATCAGGCCCATCTTCGTGCCCGAGTTCACGCGCTCATAGAAACACTCCTCCGCGTGCGCGTCTATGCTCACAAAATAGCCGCTCGCCGTGTAAGAAAGCGCGCAGAGGAGCACGACAAGTTCCGAGAACGTAAACATGTTTGGTGCGGTGTATTAATGGAGGATAAAACCCATAAAAGAGACTTTACGCCGCACGGGACCGATAAAGGCGGAGACTGACAAGCGCTAGCTGCGCTACTGATGATGCCACGTCAAGCTTTAGACGGGCCGCCCGGTGGGACAAAATGGCTAAGACAACGGACGCGGTTCGCGTTTTGAAAAAAGAGAAACGGGAGCATTCTCCATTATTTTGTAATTGTTTTAATTCAATATGACGATACTATATTTATTTATTTAAAAAATAATTACTATAATGCAACTCAGCGAATCATTTTTTTTAACATTATATTAGTTAAGTAATATTTTACAGTGTCAGTATTTGTTTTTAATGATGTTTATTGTTCAAAACATTTGAACTTTTTATGCTGGCCAGTTAGAGAATCAAAAATACACTTATACATTCATATGGTTAATTTTTAACCTAAAATCATGACGATGTAAAAATATGTATAATGCATTTGTTGAGCTGTTGGTATAGAGTTCCGCCTCTAGAGGGCGCGTCAGTGCGGCGCGTCGCGCGCTGTTGTGTGTGTCGCAGCTTTGGTGACGTTTTTCCAATCGACTCCAGAAAACTCTCTCCGCCGCCGCGGCCTAGCGCTCTTGGACCCTCTTTCTCGTCATTTTATTCACTCATGTCCGTCTGTCCGAACCCAAACCGAGCGGGACCTGCTGCCGTATGAGGCGCTGAACACGGGGCTGTCGATTTAAGCGGAGTTTTTACCCGGAAACTGAGTGAAAATACAGTAACCAGACTGAGGGAGAGATGACATCCCGAAGGTTAGAAACAAGCAAAAACAAACCTAATTTTCTCGTTTATTTTGCATTTATTGTCACTGTCGGCACCTTATCTTTACGATAAATCAAATTAATGTTTGTTTAAAGAGTTTTAAATGTCAAAAGTGCGAAATAAACGCGTTTAAATGTCAGACAGTGTGATGATTTAAACCCAACAGGGCGAGACTGGACATGTTTTGAGTGTGAAAGAGTCAGTCTAATGAGGAATTACTTTGAATTAACTGATTTTAGGACGATAAAAGTTTGCTCAATGGTCATATTTCATATATGTCGACGATGATTGACAGGTCACAGTGTAGATTTGTCCAGGGATGACCAACAGGGTCGTCACGTGACGCTGTGTTTTGAAGGATGGCTTGACAGTAGTGTGATGTGAATAACGTCATTTGCCATTATTTTGCTTTATTGTCGTTTATGTATTTGCCCTTCTTGTGTTAATATTGTTTTATTGTGATATCATAGATAGAGAGAACGGTAACACTTTAGTTTAGGGTACAATTCTCACTATTAACTAGTTGCTTTTTTATCATGGATATCTCTAGGATATTATTGAATGTTTATTAGTACTTATAATAACGACCTTACTAACTATTAATAAGCAGTAATTAGGAGTTTGATGCAAAGGTTGTAGTTAATAGTTAACAGTGAGATTTGGACCCTAGTCTAAAGTGTGACCAAAATAATGTAATAGATGCTTGCCTTATTCAGCCTGTAAGCAAAAATAAATACACGCTGTGGTGACCTTATTAGGGCACTTAAGTAAAATCTGACTGAAACTCATTGCATTAGGAACAAAAAGTCTTGCATATTTAAAAAAACATACTGAATTCACACATTTCAACGATAAATTTGACTTTAAGTTTAGGTCTGTCAAACGATTAATCGCATCCAAAATAAAAGTTTGTGTTTCCATAATGTATGTGGGTGCACTGTGTATAATTATTTATATATCTAAATACACACATGCTTGTATATATTGAAGAAATATTTCATGTATATACTGTATATAGATTTATATATAAATTATATTATAAATAAATATAAATATTTTATATATAAATAATATTATTTTCTTAAATATACATGCATGTTTGTGTATTTATATATATACAGTATACAAAATAATTATACACAGTGCACCCACATATATTATGCAAACATAAACTTTTATTTTGGATGCGATTAATCGTTTGACAGCCCTAATTAAGTTTATATAGTTTGAAATGATAAGACGGCAAAAGTTCCTGCAGGATATGTTATACTATTCTGATCCGATATTCTGTATAATTAATGTTAAAATGGTTTTATGGTTGAGCTGCACACTTCTTTGTGCATCAGTGGACTGGATTCTGATTGTGAATTATCCTTTTCATATGACATTTCATGCACTGGCATTTCTGCTTGTACTTTCATGTTTCCTGAGCAACAGTAACTGCTTGTTGTCAGAAGCGTTATTGGCCAAAATCACACTTTCATGTCGTGACGGACAGTGTTGTGTTTCTGTTGGTAGGTGGTTCCACCCCAACATCACTGGAGTGGAGGCGGAGAACCTTCTACTCACGCGTGGTGTGGACGGCAGTTTCTTGGCCCGTCCCAGCAAAAGCAACCCTGGAGACTTTACGCTTTCCGTCAGGTGAGAGGTGACGCACAAACCAACATTTAGGCTCGGAATAACAAGTGTTAAGAATTGGAAAATATATTATGCCCTTGACTAGACTGTAAAATATCCTGTATATTTGAAAAGTTAAAAAAACGTAAATTTAACGTTAAAAACGGCAGCTGTGCTTGACAGAAAAACACTGTAAAAAAATGCTGACCTTGCAGGATGGCAGTACACTGTATTTCAGTGATATATGTCAATATTGAATTTCTAAAATCTGCTTTTACCACTTATTTCATATGCTAATCATACTTTATACTTTAAAGAAAACATACATTTGACAGTGTTTTTTTTTAACAAAATTGCACATTATGCATTGTTACATTGCAGTTAATCAATTAAAGGAGTAGTTCACTTTTAAAAAAACTTCTGCTGATAATTTACTCACCCCCATGTCATCAAAGATGTCCACATCTTTCTTTCTTCAGTCGAAAAGAAATTAAGGTTTTTAATGAAAAGATTCAGCGTTTTTCTCCATATAATGGACTTCAATGGGGTCCAAATGGTTCAAGGTCCAAATGAGAGTTTCAGTGCAGCTTCAAAGGGCTTTAAACGACACCAGACGATGAATAAGGGTCTTATCTAGCAAAACGATCGCTCATTTTAAAAATAAATAAATAAAGTTTAAGTTTTAAGCACAAATGCTCGCCTTGCTCTGTTCTGTGATGCACGTTCGTGACTCTCCTGTTCAAACTGAACAATGAACAAATCTTTTTTTGAGTTATTTGGTTAATTCAACGAACAAAATGAACGAAATGAATCGGAAAAAAATGTGCTCAATTTGATGAACGATTTCGAACAGAACAAAGCAAGGCGAGCATTTGTGCTTATAAAACATAAATTTTGCTATTTATAATTTAAATGACCGATCGTTTCGCTTGATAAGACCCTTATTCATCATCTGGAATCGTTTAAAGCCCTTTGAAGCTGCACTGAAACTCTCATTTGGACCTTGAACCGTTTGGTTCCCATTGAAGTCCATTATATGGAGAAAATCCTGGAATGTTTTCATCAAAATCTTAATTTCTTTTCGACTGAAGAAAGAAAGACATGGACATCTTGCATGCCATGAGTAAATTATCAGCAAAAGTTTTTTTTAAAGTGAACTACTCCTTTAACAGCTTTTTATTGTAGCCAGAGTTGCGCAATTAATTGTTAAAATTTTGCGATCTTGATTCACACACCCACTCAATCTCATTATTAAATGACAACGATTCAGCTGCGTCTTTTAAACCTTTGACAAAATCACATTAGGACATAGAGCAGTTAGCATGTACATTTCAGGTATAAAACAGCTTCACTCTTTGCAACCACACAGTTTTGATATTTCTGTGTTACAAATATTTATATTATCACAGAAAAACTGAGGTCTGAAAATAGAGCAAATTACCTTTTGAACGTTTCAAATAACGAACGACAAGTGACTGCTAAAATATATTTGTCATTGAATCATTCATTCAAGATATGCTTTCACTTGTTTCATTACTGGATGAATCAGCATTTTTTAAATGGTTGGTTTGGTTATTTTACACTTAAAGCCCTGTTTTAAGATCGTCGTTTCTGATCAAATAGAACGGTTAAGATTAAAATTTGGACAAATGCTGCTGTCCCGAGAATTTTAGGTTTAGGTTAGCATTTGTCCAAATTTCAATCTTAATCGTTCTATTTGATCAGAAATGATCTTAAAACAGGGCTTTAAGTGTAAAATACCGAACTAACCCTTTAAGTATTTATGAGTGAGTCATTGAATCACTCATAAAACTGTTTTTAAAAATAATGAAATCAGGTTGATTGAACATTTTAAAATAGACTAAGGCAATTAACATTTATTGTTTTGTTTAGTTGTCTGTTTAGAGTCGTGGGAGAATCATCATCTCTGTTTGAAACAACAAAAAAAAACCTGCGATTGTCAATTTAACCAGAATCGTGACGTGCAGCTCCAACTGTAGCATTTTTACAGTCTTTTTCTGTTAAAATTACAAAACATTTTGTAGTGTATTAGCATAAACTGAATTGAAGCTCTTCTCTTCACTAGACGAAATGGCGCCGTCACCCACATTAAGATCCAAAACACGGGAGACTATTATGACCTGTACGGTGGAGAGAAGTTTGCCACCCTGGCTGAGCTGGTGCAGTATTACATGGAACATCACGGACAGCTGAAAGAGAAAAACGGGGACGTCATTGAGCTGAAATACCCGCTCAACTGTGCCGATCCCACTTCTGAGAGGTGAGCACATGCATAGCTCATTATCTGTCTGTCCTTCCATGACAACGGGGGGCGTTTTTTATTGGCGTCTGAACCTGAATACCGTCCTCTGAAGTTATCTTGTTTTTGGTTTAGGTGGTTTCACGGTCATCTATCTGGGCGTGAGGCAGAGAAGTTGTTGACAGAGAAGGGCAAGAACGGAAGTTTCCTGGTGAGAGAAAGTCAGAGTCACCCGGGAGATTTTGTGCTCTCCGTACGGACCGGAGATGACAAGACGGACACCAGCGACGGCAAACCCAAGGTCACCCACGTCATGATACGCTGCCAGGTAAACTTCAGATGCATGACTTGAAGGCTAACTATGTTTTTTTAAATTTTTTTTCATTAGAGTGTTCAACATCCAACTAGTCGATTAGTGAGCTCAAATAGTGTAGATTTAAACATATTTTTTCTTGTTTATTGACTTTGAAGATGCAGAAGGTGTTTCTACTAGAGCCCGACTGATAAAGGATATACAAATATTTTGGGGTTTTAAAATCCGATATTCCGATATTTTTTTTTTTATGAAATATTGTTGGATTTCACACACGTGTAAAAGAAAAGCTAACTTTTCTGCACAAGATACAATTGATACTTTTTCTTATGTCTAAATGTTCACTCCTCACAAGTATAACTTCATTTTACAATGCAGGGACTGTAACTAGAGATATGCTAGTTATAAATATGGTAATCATTACTTTATTTAGGCCGAAAAGTTCATTGTGGTTTCCAGGCTCATTAATGTTAACGTTAGCGGTCTTCCACTGATGATAGTGGCATTAGCTAGCTTTGTGGTTAGCTAGTCTATGATGAGCCATAATTTAGCAATAGATAACATCATACTGCAAATTGTAAAACATACATTTTCAATATAACAGGCCAAGGAGAGATGATTAAAGCGTGTTTCGTCCATTTTTATTTTATTTTTGAAATATTCATTTATCGGCCATTATAACTGCCGATACCAATATTATGGAAAATGCCTAATCGGCCGATAATATCGGTCTGGCTCTAGTTTCTACATTCATCCCTTTAAAGCATTGCTGATAAACATATATATTTAGCCTGAAATGTGTTATTGCATTTAGTATGCACTAGCAGTGCAGAAATTACACGCTTCATTTTTAATCTTAACAGTTTATTTAGTTCCAAAACGCTGTCATTATTATTATTTTTTATTTAACCTTTATTTTACCAGGTAGGCCGATTGAGAACAAATTCTCATTTACAACGGCGACCATTAAAAGGCTATTTACCTGTGATGTGTTATGTAAGTGGGCTATTATTTCTTTTATCATTTTGTCAGCATGATCTGAAGTATGATGTTGGCGGTGGGGAGAAATTCGACTCGCTCACAGACCTGGTGGAGCACTACAAGAAAAACCCAATGGTGGAAACACTGGGGACAGTCCTGCAGCTCAAACAGGTGTTCGATTGTCCATTTTTAGATCCATTGAGAACTGTCAAATTACAGTACTTGTGATGTTCCTTATTTGTAAATCACTTTAGACACACAAGTCTGCTGAATGAATACACTAAGGTTCAAAAGTTTGGGGTCAGCATTATATTTTTTTTTTTTAAAAATGAACACTTTTATTCAGAGAGGATGCATTCAATTAATCAAAAGTGACAGCAAAGACATTAATAATTCTACAAAAGATTTTATTTCAAATAAATGTTGTTCTATTGAAATGTCTATTCATCAAAGAATCCTGAAAAAAAGACAGCAATCAACAATTTCTACATTGAGAACAATAAGAGCAGCAAATCATCATATTAGAATGATTTCTGAAGGATCATGTGACCTGAATGATGCTGAAAATTCAACTTTGATCACAGGAATAAATCACAGTTTAAAATATATTCACATTGAAGACAGTTATTTTAATTTGTAATCATATTTCACAATATTACAGTTTTTACTGTATTTTTTAACAAATAAATGCAGCCTTTGTGAGCACAAGAAACTTCTTACAAAAATGCCCAACCCTTAAAAACTTTTGAACAATTGTGTAAATGTACATTTAACATTCCTAATACCAGCCAAATAATGCAAGTAAATCAGTGTTGTGTTTCTTGCAGCCTCTGAACACGACCCGCATCAATGCAGCAGAGATCGAGAGCCGGGTACGAGAGCTCAGCAAGCTGGCTGAGGCCACAGATAAGGTCAAGCAGGGATTCTGGGAAGAGTTTGAGGTGAGAGCCAGCACCCAGTTTAGTGCCAGATTAACCAATGATCTGATATACTGATAAATCAATGTACAGTTTCCCACACTTTTATTATAAAGGGTCGAGTTGTAGGAATCATTTTTAATTCTGTGTCCACAGACGCTTCAGCAGCAGGAGTGTAAACTACTCTACAGTCGCAAAGAGGGTCAACGGGCAGAAAACAAAAACAAGAACAGATATAAGAACATTCTTCCCTGTAAGTGAACATCATCATCATGCAAATCGCAGGAAACTCTCAGAAAGCCACATGCTGATGGGCCAACAATATTAATATTCTTACTCCACAGTCGACCACACGCGAGTCGTGCTGACCGATGGTGATGCAAATGAACCAGGCTCTGATTACATCAATGCCAACATCATCATGGTAATAAAGGTGCCTTCAAATCTTTTCAGAATTATTCAATATTTGTGCCTCAATGGTTTTTGTGGTTTGCCAGCCTGATAATGAGACTAAATCAAACAATTCAAAGTTGAAGAGGAGCTACATCGCCACCCAGGGCTGCCTGCAAAACACCATCAGTGACTTCTGGAGGATGGTGTTTCAGGAGAACTCTCGAGTCATCGTCATGACCACGAAGGAAGTGGAACGGGGAAAGGTCAGCTGTTTCCCAAGGGAACTGATTTTTGGTTAGTTAAAGGAGTAGTTCACTTTAAAAAAAACTTGCTGATAATTTCCTCACCCCCATGTCATCCAAGATGTCCATGTCTTTCTTTTTTCAGTCGAAAAGATTTGTGATGAAAACATTCCAGGATTTTTCTCCATATAATGGACTTCAATGGGAACCAAACGGCACAAATGCTTGCCTTGCTCTGTTCTGTGATGCACGTTCGTGACTCTCCTGTTCTCGTTCATCACAACGAACAAATCTTTTTTCGAGTCATTTGGTTCATTCAACGAACAAAATGAACAAATTGACTCGGAAAAAGATTTGTTCATTTTGATGAACGAGTTCGAACAGGAGAGTCACGAACGCGCATCACAGAACAGAGCAAGGCGACCATTTGAGCTTATAAAACTTAAAAAAAATGTATTTATTTTTTAAATGGCTGATGATTTCGCTAGATAAGTCCTTTATTCATCGTCTGGAATCGTTTAAAGCCCTTTGAACAGTTTGCACTGAAACTGTCTTTTGGACCTTGAACCGTTTGGACCCCATTGAAGTAGGGCTGAACGATTTTGGAAAATAATCTAATTGCGATTTTTTTAACCAATATTGCGATTGCGATTTAATATGCGATTTAAAAAAAAGTTATTTACCTTCTGTATTAGTCGACAAAGACAAGCAATAAATCATTGTACAGTAGGAATGAGAATCTTTAGATAGCTCATGATATGATCTACTTTTTTTCTTATTAATTAATCTTAATAACTCTTAAAATATGTATTTAATTACATGTGTAAAAACACATACTTTAAAAAATAAATATAAAAAACATTTAATTAAACCAATTACATGTTAAGAATTTTAAATAGGCTATATAAAATAATATAGCTTCAAAATATAAAAGCTAGTAAATAAAGAGAAACAAAAAAAACATTACAAGCAATAAACAAAGAGTGGTCTCAGTATTTAAAAGTAGGCTGTCTGAATGTTTTTCATTCAAGAGCTGGAGTGATTTCCCCTCAGTTTAGATACGATAAGCTGCATTCACACTAATGCATATATCTCTTTTGAAATTGTAAATGTGGTTTGTCCTGTTGGTTTAAGATATAACTGACCGTGTTTACATTAATTTCGCGTCATAAAAGCATTTTGACATGAAAGTACATTTACCAATGAGTCGCTCACGGCCGCATGCACGAGCGCTCTTCACAAAGCACGCGTTAGTATTCTAAAATGAAAGCAGCCTTCTCAGTGATTTTCATGGTTTTAATATATAAGCCGACTGCATTCCAAAAGACATAAATAATGCCTCTGTGAAGCATTTGTAAAGAAAATTCCCGCGGGAGAGAACGCGCACTGCAAGTGTAACGTTATAACATCAAGCAAAGCGGCAAAACCTGTTCAATGAAGCCCGCGAATGTCCTTGTAATTCGGTTCAATCCCGAACTTTATGAAATAACGTTACTATGTTTTGGAAGGTTCGAGCGGTGTCGTGTGTGTGAGTGAGGAAGAGAGAGAGCGAGAAAATAGAAGCAAGCAGATTCAGAACACGGTTCGTTTCTAAAGCACGCCCAGCGTCATCACGCATCTGTGTTTAAAAACTAAGCTCAGACTCGATTCTGAAATTCTCTGATCCAGGATTGTGGAGGAGAGAATAAATAACACAATATCACTTAAAAATAGACTAAACTGTTCTTTTCTGAACGCCAGACCGCGTAGCGTGGCAAGTTGATGCTTTATCTTGCAGACTGCTTTTCTCTCGCGTGTCACGTGACCAATGTAATCGCAGCTCTTGCGATTACAAAATCGCGTTTCATCATATCGCGATTTTATCGCAAATGCAATTAATCGTTCAGCCCTACATTGAAGTCCATTATATGGAGAAAATCCTGGAATGTTTTCATCAAAAACCTTAATTTCCTTTCGACTGAAGAAAGAAAGACATGGACATCTTGGATGATATGGGGGTGAGTAAATTATCAGCAAAAGTTTTTTTTAAAGTCAAGAGGTTTAAAGGTTGAGTCAAGTGTGTATATTTTTTGATGAAAATTGCTATTGCGGTTTAAAATACATTTTTAAAAGAGCTCCAGGTTTACTGTTCCTGTTTGTAGGGCTGCACAATTTGATTATACATCAAAATAATGATGATAATGTATAGTTTTATTATTATGATTCCTAAATAAAAATATTTGCAAAACACAAAAGAAAATATTACTATTGTAATGGTACTCTTACAGATTTAGGGCCAGATTTAATAACCGCTTGCGCCAGCACAAACCCTCTTTTTGGCATCAAAAACTACTGTCAGGATTCACTAAAGACAATTAGCACTGAAAAGGTGTGGACAGGGCTATTTCTGCGGCTGACATTATTGCATATGAATTAACGCAAAATTGATGGGAGGAGAGTATACACGCAAGGTGATTTACTAAGGTTTGTGCTTGTCAAATTACTGGTATTTATTTGCGCCATTATTTAACGCATGTCTTAAACCATCTGCTCATTTGTGCTGCCCCTGGAAGATCGCGTTGGGGAACTTTGCTCTCCCGTTTGCATTTCTTTGGAATTTAATTTAATAAACGATTCTCATTTGGAAAATTGCAGCCTTTGCAATTTGATAAACCATTTTACAATATCGCTTTTATTTCTTATTAAATGAATTGAATTGTTCTGAGATGCATTGCGTTTTCCTTCACAGAGTAAGTGTGTGAAGTATTGGCCTGACGTGTCCGCGTTGAAGGAGTACGGAGCCATGCGTGTGCGTAACGTTAAGGAAACCTCAGCACATGATTACATCCTGCGAGAGCTGAAGCTGTCAAAAGTTGGACAGGTGAAGCAAAACTGAGATGGTTAAATGACCCATAAACGCAAGAGTTTGTCTCTAACACCTGCGTTCTGTCTGAAACGGTAGGGTAACACTGAGCGTACAGTGTGGCAGTACCATTTCCGTGCGTGGCCAGACCACGGCGTGCCCGGAGACCCTGGCGGCGTGCTGGACTTTCTGGAAGAGGTCAAAATGAAGCAGGAGGGCATAAACGGGGCTGGACCCATCGTGGTGCACTGCAGGTTATGAGAACACGATCAATAACACACTTCAAACTGACCGGATTTTAATGACCTCATTAAATCACAATATTTAGTGAGAAATGTCAGTCCAAATATTTTCTCCATCAAGCAAGTCTGTTTGTTGGTTATAAACATTTCTGTTTCTCCTACAGTGCTGGGATTGGACGAACAGGAACGTTTATCGTTATTGATATTTTAATAGACATCATCCGAGAAAAGGGTAAAGTCCTTACATCTAGATTGATCACCTGTTAATTAGTGGTTGACCGTTATATCGCCACAACCTGTATATATGTAAATATATACACTACCGGTCAAAAGTTTTAGATCGGTACAATTTTTTATGTTTTTAAAAGAAGTCTCTACTGCTCACCAAGGCTGCAATTGTTTGATAAAAAATACAAAAAAAAAAACAGTAATATTGTGAAATATTATTACAATTTAAAACAGCGGTTTTCTATGTGAATATAGAGTGAAGTGTAATTTATTCCTGTGATCAAAGCTGAATTTACAGCATCATTACTCCAGTCTTCAGTGTCACATGATCCTACAGAAATTATTATAATATGATGCTCAAGAAACATTAATGATTATTATCCATGTTGAAAACAGTTTTTTACATTTTTATTTCAGGATTCTTTGATGAATAGAAAGTTCAAAAGAACAGAATTGATCTGAAATGGAAAGCTTTTGTAACATTAATCACTACCATTCAAACGTTTGGGGTCAGTAAGAATTTATTTTTTATTTTTGGGGAAAGAAATTAGAAAATACTTTTATCAATCAAGGATGAGTTAAATTGATCAAAAGTTACAGTAAAGACATTTATAATGTTAGAAAAGATTATATTTTAAATAAATGCTGTTCTTTTGAACTTTCTATTCATCATAGAATTTTTTGGGGGGGGAAATGGTACACGACTGTTTTCAACATTTATGTTTTTTGAGCATAAAATCAGCAGAATGATTTCTGAAGGATCATGTGACACTGAAAACTGATGTGTAATCAGCAACAGTAATGATGTTGAAAATTCAGCTTTGATCACAGGAATAAATTACACTTCTCTATATATTCACATAGAAAACTGCTGTTTTAAACTGTAATAATATTTCACAATATTACTGTTTTTTATTTATTTATGTATTTTTTTTTTATTAAATAAGTGCAGCCTTGGTGAGCCGAAGAGACTTCTTTTAAAAACATAAAAAATCTTACTGATCTAAAACTTGACCGGTAGTGTAATTTGCTATTTTTTAAAAGTCCCCCTGTTGTCAATAATGTTATCCCTTAACTTCAAAATTACATTATTTAAAAAAACACCTTTAAAAAACTTAAATGTAACCCTACACCCTTGCCTCATTTAATATACATGGTTCTATGAATATGTTTGTCCAATGTGTTTGAAGAGGGACTTATATTTTGACATACCAATGGTATATACCAATGTAAAGGTAAATAAAAAGTATTTCAGTATTAGCTTTTCTGTTATTAGTCATAGAAAGGAAAACTCTATAATACCTCCTCATTTACCGTCAGCATTCAGCAAATATGCTTTACAATCATTTAAACAAATCTTTGAGTGTCTAATAAATATTTAATTTCGCAATCGTTGCAAGCTTCCAGCTGTGAGATCTTCTGAAGTGAGTGTGCACTTGAAGACTGCATAAAAACGTTGTTCCCTGTGCGTAACGGTCGACCACTACTATATTGATTCTCTTTGTTAATCATTAGGCCCTACAACCTAAATTGGGCCACAGTAGCAAATTGATCTTTTTAAAGTTAGCTCTAACCAGAAGTCTGTTGAGCAGGAGTGGACTGTGATATTGACGTGCCAAAGACTATCCAGTTGGTGCGATCTCAGCGTTCAGGAATGGTACAGACAGAGGCCCAGTATCGATTCATTTACATGGCCGTCCAGCATTATATTGAGACTCTACAGCGCCGCATAGAGGAGGAGCAGGTGTGTACATCACAGATATTGAGCATGATTAGTGGTGTTCAAAATAGCCTGATTCGTTTGTCTCTTTCAGAAAAGTAAAATTAAAGGACGAGAGTACACCAACATCAAATATTCTCTCTCTGACCTGACTGGAGGAGATCAGAGCCCTCTGCCACCGTGCACACCGACGCCAACCTGTGCCGAGTGAGAACACGCATGCATTTCACACAATGCCTCACGATTTTATAGATGTGTACCACTTACCAGAGAAAATGACATATGAATGATGGTTTGTATGAATAATTTAAAGGGATAGTTCGGCCAAAAATGACATTTAACCCATGCATTACTCACCCTCAAGCCGTTTCGAGATGCATATGTCAATCTTGTTTCAGACGAACACATTTTCAGTTATTTTAGAAAATGTCTTAGACCCTTCAGTGGATATAATGTGAAGAAATGGGGTCCAGCTCCTTCAAGTCCCAAAAATGTGCATACAACATTCACAAAAGTAATCCATCCGGCTCCAGTGGGATAAACGAAGGCCTTCTGAGGGTAATCCGTGCGGTATTGTCGTAAAAATATACATATTTAAAACTTTATAAATGAAAATATCTGACTTCCGGCAACGATCGACGTATCGGCGTACGAGGTAGGACGTTAGCGTAGGAAACGTCACGACGGTTCCTACGCTACGTACGCCGACTTCCATCACCTGTGAACGTACCGAACGTACGTCGATCGTTGCCGGAAGTCAGATATTTTCATTTATAAAGTTTTAAATATGTATATTTTTATGACAATACCGCACGGATTACCCTCAGAAGGCCTTCGTTTATCCCAGGGGAAAAGATCCTAGGGGAAAAGATTAACTTGGATATATCACCATATTTCCCCAGCTGCTTAATCAGGGTGCATTAATTTAAATGTTGTGTATTACAAGTTTTCTGAAATGTTATACTTAAATACGCTGATAATGCATTTGCATTATCTAAATTTCCAGATCAAAAATCTGGAAATGAAAGCAAAATAGCCCAAAATCTCAAAATTGTGACCTGTGCATGAAAAATGGTCCAAATATTATGAAATCAAATCTTAAAAAAAGCAACATGCAGTTAGACAATACATGGTGTCAGCATTGATTTCATGCCACACTTGATGTATGAAGACGTATATCTGATGTTTATATGTATTATTACAGTTTGAGGGACGACAACTCTCGAGTCTATGAGAATGTGGGTCTGATGCAACAGCAGAAGAGTCACAGATGAGACTCCGACTCCAGCACTGTTCGAATAACAGGTATGACGGCTCATTCTTCACCACAACACGTCACAGTGTGTTCAGTCCCAGATTCAACAGTTGCTTTAGCTGCTGTTTCTGGTTATTTCAAACATTTACATTTGTTTTTCATAGTTTAGAGTAGGGGTTCTCAGCTCGTTTACACGATGGGAAAACGTAGATATTTCTCTCCGTTTCGCCCTCTCATTTACACGAAAACGCCGTTTTTATCACTGAAAACGTAGAAAAGTTGAGATTTCTGTAGGGCTGTCAACTTTAGTCGTTTAGTCAACTAATCGGTCCGACTGACATTCTTATTGGTCGACCAGTTGCATTTTTTTTTTTTTACCAATAGAAAGAATTTTTCAATGATTTACTCCTTGATATTTATTCCTTTATAACCAGTTATTTATTGCTGTATTCTAAATATAATTAGCCTATGTTTTATCCCCAACTTTAAAAATGCTTTAATTTAGGCTATTTTTGTAACTGCGCCACAGTTTAGCGCACACATATAATACACTCGGGAACCGCACCTGTGGCCGGCTGCGCTGCTGCTCGCGCTCGGTAAGGGATGCTGTATTCATTCAGTTAGAATGCTCCTTGTTTTGACTTTAGTCGACAAAATGTCCAGGAAATCTAAATCTTTTGTCTCGCTGCATTTTAAAACAAAGACGACAAGACTGTGGAGGGAGGCGACCGCGTTGCTCCATTATGAGCGCGCAAGTCACGCGCCTACATTTGAAATCGTGGCAAATCGTGGAAATTATGTGGCAGATAGCAGTTATATTTTTTGCAGCGTGTGGTGTGGTCAGGTGCGCGATTGTGACCTAGGATAGAGCTCTTTACTTTTTGCAGTTAAAAAATCACAAAATCACTTAATTTTCAAAGAATTGTATTATTATTATAGTTTTATTTATTTGTGATGTTTTTTCGTTGTTGTATAAATGCTCAATGACAATTGTTTAAAAAATGTTTAATCAAAACATTACGTTTTTTTTTTTTTTTTAGTCGACTAATCGTTGCGCAGGACAGGACTTTGGTCGACTAAGGATTTCTTTGGTTGACTACAGCCCTAGATTTCTGAAGATTGTCATGTGAACTGGGAGAAACGGCTTTTTAGATTCTCTCTTGTCGTTTCTGAGGATAAAGATATGCATCAGACGTGATGCACGCAAGCTTCCCTTCTGTAACACTGACTTCTAGAAAACACACACTCTCAACTCGCTAATAAACACATAGGATAGACTAGTCTGAATTTGTAAATGTAATCAAGTTAAAATAGTTGGGTGAACTGTACTCAAACGTTGTTTGAAAAACTGTACTCAAACGTTGTTTGAACGTTGTCTATCTGCAATGTCGATTTCCAAAGAGCTTAGTTTTTTTAAAATCTTATGCTGTCTTTGAATAAGCTTTTAATGTTTGTCGTGACGTGTGACGTCGTCTTTTTGTATTCCCCGACAGGAATTGCTTTTGTTGTTGCCAGACGCTCCTGAAAACCTGAGAAGTGATCATGACTAAACAGAGACGACAAAAAAAATCAAGGAAGAAAAAAAAAAAATCCAGAGACCGGTCCACACGAGCTCAGAGACATGCGGATGGAGTGAATTTCATTTCTCCTTCCAGCTACGTAGCCTTTTAACCCCACACTAAGAAACCACTGTGACCATCATGAAGCCTTATACTGAATAAACCCAAAACAGCCCCTGCAAAATCATGTTTTTTTGGGTGTGGACTTTTCTGAAATCAATTCAGGCTACAATTAGCGCTTGTGGGAAAAGCTTTCGCTATTACGTTCTTGCCTCATTCATTTATTTTTTTTCCTCTTTCTGGCTCTTTTTTTTTTTTGTAAAGAAAGCGAGAACTCTTTCTGGAAAGCATTAAGCGTGATACTCTAACAGAAAAAGGACACTATCATCACATACGCCTTTACTAAGATAATTGGGAACAGAAGAGAAGCCATTCTCAGCCAAGCAAAGGGATGCTCTTCATCTTCGCAATACGGTTCATTCATTTTACTTGTGCCATCTTAGCACTAGTTCTCGATTCTAGTCCTCTGCCTTCAGTTTAAGCCCAGTGTCCTTAAGACTTTGCTCCGAACAGCAGGAGAACTTGGGTCGGAAAACCCTCGGTTTGCCTTTTTGTCCCCCTGGAGAGAGACATCCTGATTTCGAGGACTTTTCCGTGGTACAAAACGTCCGTGTCACTGGCTTGTTTGTGTTACTGAATTGTTCTTCTGCATCAGGCCACGGCACGCTGCAGCTGCGAAACCTGTTTCTTATGATTTTGTAATGGTATTTTGCTGTTTAAAAACACCGTATGAACTTAATTTCCAAATCACTGTTTTAAAAGTGACTGCACATTTGTAACCCTGATGATGTCTAGCTTGTAAAGAGCAGTGGATATAATCAAGGGTTATTCGGGCCATCTATGATGGACACACTTGACTTGTAGATGAGTTTTTGTTTTTTGCCAGGTCACATGTTTTCATTTTCTCATTTTTCCTAGTTTTAACATCTTTAATCTTTGCTTGCTTCACTAACTCTTAACTCGTGTCCATCTAACGTTGCTTGTTGTGTTCAACGTCAGCAGTATTTTAACGTTTTCGCAAGTGCTTCTTTCCGGCCCGGTGTTCATGTTATTTGGCCTTGACTTTCTCGCTTTCTTCACCTTGAGTGATGAGTCCTTACACATTTAAAAAAGTAGGTGCTCTTTGAGTTGGTTTTCTCAGCGCATCATGTATGTATCCGCCGTCCTGTAATGCGTTTATTGTAAGTGTGTGAGCGTGTTTGTGTCTTAAAAATACTGCTGTTTGTTTGCTTTTTTGAAGTCCGACTTCGGTCTTTTGTTTTTTCTTTTCTTTTCTAGCTTTGTCTCAATGATGTAAAGAATACACACATCTGTTTATGTGTGTGTGTGTGTCAGTGACCAACATCTTCCTTTTCTTTCTTTTGAAACAAACAAAAAAAAAAGTCGCTCCACGGAAAGCATTACGGTCCAAAGCAACTAATGTGAATTTTTGTCATCGTGAAGAGAACGAAACGGTTGTGGAACTCAATGCAAACTATATTTTTTAAACTTGTATATTGTACATGAATATCTTGTAGAGGAGAATGTACTTACTAAACATATGTAATTGCCATTAAGATATACTGTATGTTTAACCCAGCAGCATCTCTTCTCGTGCCAGACGGTGAGCCTTACACAAGCTAATAGGGTTGATCGTGTTGTTCGGCCATCGATGCAATTAACCAACATGAACTCCTTGATAACAATAAACAAGAAGCTCACATCTTCATGGTCGAGTCCTGTGCTGTTGATGAATTTAGTGTTGAGACTCCAGTTCGTCTGTCATTGCTGTTTTTGAGTGAGCGTGACAAACAGGTAACGGTGCAGATGAGACAAATCTCACATTAAATGTAATAAGATGGTCAAATGCGATGAACTGAAGCTAATAGGTTTTGTTGTGCTGGACTCTATTTTTATGTTGCGCAGCTGTGCTGAGCGCTGTGGAGATTGTGCAGCTGTTTCACTGCAGGGCTGTGAACCAAACTCACGACAGCGGATCTGGATTTTACTGGCAAACCACGTGGACTCAAGGTGAATCTGCTCACAATAACCAGGAGTAAAGATGTTGGAAATATATATATATATATAAGAGCCATTCCACCGAAAGGGTGACATTTCTGTCCCCAGGACATTAAAATTGCATGAAAATAAACTCTAAAATACATTTTATTATTAACCCCTTTAGTGCCACCGTTGGGCCCAAATCCATTACATTTTTAAAACAGTATTATCCTACACTAAACTAATCTTGACAAACTATGTATCATTTGAAAGCTTAGAATCTCTAGTTTTCATATTTCAAAATATATTACAGAGGAGCCGTAATTTATCAATTTGCAACAAGAATATTTTCATACTCTAAGGCGTGTTTAGACCTTTATTTTGAAATTGTGATGAACATGAAAAATCATGAAAAAAGGGCAGAAACCTGTTTGTTTTCGTGCCAAGAGTTCAAAAGAAAGCCTCCATTCAATTATTTTATAATTATAATAATTATTATTTCATATGGAAATGGAGGCGCCCTTATATGGGCAGTAATGGAGTCTGGTTGTGCCCTAGTGAAAAAGTTTGGTACTGCACCCAAACAAAATCTCACTGAAAGCTAATTTTTTGAGATATCAACCTATAATTTGAAATACAACTTATTCAGATTTTTTCTTTTTTCTTTTTTTTGTTGTGCAGTTTTAATGTCGCCTAGGTTTTAAAAATATATATTTTATATAAAATATGAATAATTACATTTTTTATATTGTACATTTTCATAAACTCAAACTTCTATAACTTTTTTTCTGTTTCACATTCTTAATTTATTACACTTCTACAAAAATCTGCCAAATGTCTTCTTTAAAACGAGACCAATCTTACGTCTATATTCCAAAGCATTCTTGAATTATAACCATTTAAATTAGAAATGTGCATTTTCATCTATATTCAAAAAAAAAGGGGGGGGGGGTGACACTTAAGGGGTTAAGCAAAATGTCATCATGCACTCTAAGCTAACTACAAATTTAAAACGTATAATTAAAAACATTAATAAAAATGACACAGAACACTAAAAAATAGCATTTTTTGAATGTCCCAACTCTATCTCTAAACTTTACCATGAAATATTATGATTAAAATCCTTCAGAAATCTGATTTTTCTTGCATTGTTGGGTGACTTTATCCAAACTGCTTTAGAATGAAAAAAAGAAAAAACATTTGATCTAATATTTTATATAAAATACACATTTTAGTCATGTCGCTGGGTTTTCACTCATTCCTGTTAGACTATTACATCCCCTCTCTGAGAAACGTAGAATATTCCACTAGACACATTTTCAACAGGAAGTTGCATCATCTGGATCTTCTGAAGGCAATGGGGTGACTATAAGTCAGTGCTCTCATTTTCATTTCTGTATATTTAATGAAATTGTAACTAAGGTCAATCTCAACATACGTCCTGTTACCTAAACTTTTTCTTAATTTAATTTTTTTATTTAAAAAATATTAACTTGTGGTAAGGCACTAGAAATGGCTCAGTGTCCTCACAATGCTATGTGGCCATATGCCATATATTTGATAACTTTTTGCTTAAAAACTCAATCCTGTTACTTTCAGTCTTGTTACTATTTTTTTCTTTTTCTAAAAAAAATAAAATTAAACCTCTATTTTTATCAGTTTTGTCTTGCCAATAATTTATACAATTATTTAATGAATTAATTAAAAAAAAATTGTGTTTTTTTTGTTTTTTGTTTTTTATCAAAATACACCTTGATTTATTAGTGATTTTATTAGCACAAATATAATTTTTTTTGAACATATAACCAACAATTTCTTTAAAATAAACACTTTCTTGTGGGGAAAACAAAGGAATTAATTGACATGCTTCTAAACTCGCTTTTTAAATGACACATGATTTTTGGTAACAGGATTGAGAAAACATGCGCCCATCTTCTGCTTATACCTTGTAAAAAAATAAATAAAGTTGCCTGAGATTGACCAATACACATTTTGAATAGTTAAATATGTGTAGTATTAGATTCAATGTTGAAAAGGATCAAAAATAAAGTTTATTTTTTGAAGAGTTACAACAAGCAAATGTCACCCAATCGATGGAATGGCCCATAAGCACATAAGAGAGAACAATTACATGAGATGTTTCTCATATAAGATCTAGTTGTCTATAGTTTTCACCTGACATCATAACCATACATGAACGCACGTCTGGAAGGGAGAACATGAGGCTTTAAGGTTTGTATTAAGCACTAATGTATAAAGACATTGATGTTGAAAGACCAAATTCAATATACACCTTATTAATGATGAATAATACTATGTACAGGAAAGCAGACGAACACATGCAGTTTCTCTTTAAGCGGTTTTCCATAGAAAATCAATATAAAGAACCATCTATCATATTCTGTGCTGATCTGCTCTGCTCTCATGCGTTGTATGAATCATCAATAAGTGCTAAATTTGATCCGTTTTAGTACATTAAAGGATTAGTACTCCCAAAAATGAAAATTATCCCATAATTTACTCTCCCTCAAGCCATTCTAGGTGTATATGACTTTCTCCTTTGACCTTCTTACTTTTATGATGGATGGATGCGCTTTTTGGGCTTTAAAATCTAGGCTATACCATTCACTCCCATTATAAATCTTGGCAGAACTAGGATATTATTTAATATAACTCTGGTCTGTGTTCGGCTGAAAGCAGAAAGTCATATACACCTAGAATGGCTTGAGGGGGAGTGAATCATGGGATAATTTCCAACTAACCCTTTAAAGGAGTAGTTCACATTTAAAAAAAACTTTTGCTGATAATTTACTCACCCCCATGTCATCCAAGATGTCCATGTCTTTCTTTCTTCAGTTGGAAAGAAATTAAAGTTTTTGATGAAAACATTCCAGGATTTTCTCCATATAATGGACTTCAATGGGGTCCAAACGGTTCAAGGTCCAAATGAGAGTTTCAGTGCAGCTTCAAAGGGCTTTAAACGACACCAGATGATGAATAAGGGTCTTATCAAGCAAAACGATCGCTCATTTAAAAAATAAATAAAAAAAGTTTAAGTTTTATAAGCACAGAGCTTGCCTTGTTCTGTGATGTGCATTCGTGACTCTCCTGTTCGAACTTTTTTCGAGTCATTTCGTTCGTTGAATTAAAGAGCCCCTATCATAGCATTTGAAATGTTCCTATTTTTGTTTTGGGAGTTCCCAAATGTGCGTCCTCTCAGCCACTCTCGAAGGCAAACAAACATACTGTTGTGCGGTTCTTTCTCTACTAATGCAGCATTTAGTCAACAAATTAATCGGTTTATAATGATATGACAAAATTTCCTGTGTACATACCTTTTCGCTCTCAGTGCAGCGCGCAGTGTCACATGTCGAAATAAATAACACGAGGCATCAGTTGATAGTTTTTATGACACCTCTAGAGGCCGCTCTTGTACTGCATGATGCCAGCAGACCCTTCTCAGCTCTCTCGTACTGTGTAATGAATGACAGCGCGCACTTCTCAGCCGCCCCAGCAACGGACGAAACCAGGAAATAACTATCGGTGCGGATTTTTGCCGATAACGATAGTCCCACCAATCAACTATCGGTGCCGATTAATCGGCAAATCCGATGAATCGGTCGACCTCTACCCAAAAACAGTTTAACGTGCATACAAGGATAAAAACACTTTATTTGTCTTATAATATGCATTTATTTTTAACTGATTTGCTCAACGACTCCCAAATGATTCGTTCGACGATTCATTTTCCCAAACACCTCCTTTGAGTGACGTAAATCTGCGGCGATTGGTCAAATGACCTAGTCAGCTGTTATTGGTAAACCGCAGGCAGAGACTGTCGGCAACGGTACGCCCATAACCAGGATTATAGCTTGTTAATTGTTGAAAATTGTATATAGTGTTGTATATATGTATATAATTGTATATAGTGTCAGAAAAAGTGCACTTTCCACGCGGTCCCTTACTCGCGTCTCCGTCAAGAGCGAGCTTTCCCGGCGAAACTCACATTGGGGCGGCTTTTGAGGGGCAGTTCTTATTATATAGAGCGAAGTCATATTTGGGTAAGTCGTTAAGGAGGTAATTGCCATTTTTCAATGAATGTCTGGTGAATATCAAAACAAAACTAACTTTACCCCGCTTAGAAGCTGCGCGGAGTGTACACAACACACACAACACAATATAACTATATTGTGCATGCTACAGAAAACATAACAGCAAACATTATTAATATTACTCACAGATTGTAATTCGGAGCAGGACGAATCTGATCCATATACACTGGACACTGAGCCCTCCTTCAGGAACAACCGGCTTGCGAATCCACATTTGAATTCATTTAGGTTTTTGAATTTTGAATGATTCGTCATTAAAATGGTGAGAACACAAGGTTCGGGCGTTGCAAATATGAACTCTGACCACTGATTCTTCACATGCTCGTCCCTGGACAATGGAAACAAGTGGCTGAACTGTCTTTGCAATGCGTCTTCTCGACATGATGCGATTCAGCTGAAGTATTTGAATGTGTTCTAGATGTCGTCACTTCAAGTCTTCGCGCTCAGTTGTTGGGAGCGGCCAATGACCTCTCTACGTCACGACGTAAAAGCTAATGACTCGTTTCCAAAACAATTCATTTCATAGACTCTGAGTCGACTCTCACTTTTGAAAGACAATAACTTTATACAGTATACGGTGCACTTTCAGATATAAATCTTTGCAGGATGTTTTCAT